AGCAGGAAGAATCAACCTTGGATTGTTTACTCTAGAGCATCTGATCACACGATAGGTGATAGCACTGCTTGCCAATATTTCCATTCTTGCAAGCACCATGTTGTAATTAGAATCGTAGATGACTCCCTTTCTCCTGTGAAAGCAAGCGGAAGTGTGAAACTTACAAAAAGATTTTATTCTTTAATCTCTACTTTATGTTACTAAACTTAACTGTAATTTACTGTCTATTTTATGTATCTCAGTTTAACTGTAATTACTGTCTATTAATAAACTTACTCGTGACATGAATTGTGTTACTAAATTCTTCATTAATTTGTGTGAATTTAAAGTAATGGACTCGAGAAATGTGATTGATAGTGCTGATATGTATCATGGGCTTTATCTGCTCATTAAAACCCTCATTTCAAAAGGACCGTCCTATTATTCCCAATCCTTTGATTCAAGTTTTTAATTTGAGTCTGTTTCTCATGAGAGTTAAGTTATGCTATGACATTTTCGCCTTGGACATCCTAATTTCATTATATTAAAACATAGTTTTTATTAATATGAAACTTAGCAACTTGTTAAACATACTTAACAAAAGTACCCACATCTGAAATACAAACCAACACATCCAGTCTATATGGTTCATAGTGATATCTGTGGGCCCTCAAAAATAAAAAAAATTACAAATGAGGCTAGGTGGTTTATCACATTCTTTGATGATCACCAGAACCACTTGGACCCTTCTCATAAAAGAAAAATCTGAAGCTGTTAGCATATTTGAAACATTCTATAACATGTTCCTCATCCAATTTCAAAGCAAATTTCAAAATCTCAAAACTGTTAATGCAAAAGACTACAACTCCACTCTTGGCTCTTATCTATCAAAAAATGGTATCATTCATATACCCTTTTGTGTTGATATACCCGAATAAAAAAAGTTTGGCTAAGTGAAAAAACACACATCTCTTCGTAGCGACTTGTTCAATTCTTTTCATTAACAGTGTACCCAAAACTTCTGAAGGGATGCAATTTTCACATCTACGTATCTCATAAATAGGATGCTCAACAAAGTGCTAAACTTTAACAAACCTCTCAACACCCTCATAAAACTTTATCCCTATATTTAGTCCTTTACGTCTAATCTAACAAAAAAAATTTTTGTTGCATCGTTTTTTTTATCTACATTAACCACACCGGAACATACTTGATCCTAGGTCAATCAAATGCATCTTTGGGGGCTACTTTTCAAACAAAAACTAAGTATAAATGCTACTCTCAAAAACACAATTTTCACAACTCCATGAACGCACCACCTTCTTTGAAAATCAACCACATTACCCCAAATCTAACATTCAGGGGGAGAGTTGGAGAGAATTTTAGATTTGGGGTGCCATTCAGGTCACCTCCAGCTCACCTCCCTTATTTTCTTGATAAATCCACTCTTGTCTACGATCACAAATCAACCAGAAAA